TGTATATATATAAAAATTATATTATATATATATATACAAACCCAAATGGGCATCCTTTTGTATTAAGAATTGATTCTATGAAAAGTGCTGTAAAATAATTCTAAACTTCTTTGTAGATTAATTGTACTTTTGAAAAGGATACTGTTTTGTGTTTTCATTTGTGTTTCTTTTGACTGACAAGCCATGCACAGCGGTCAAACTGGTCTGGGGTTTGACCGCTGTTTCTCCTGTTCCTTCCTTTTCTCCCTTGCTTTCTTTTTTCTCTTCCCAAATCACTACATAGTATTGCTGCTGTTCTTGTATAAATTTTCTGTGTATTTGCTAATTTTTATTAACTTCTAGTTTTTCATTAAATAAATGATTTTTCTTTCCTGTGATTTTTATTTTGTTTTTCTGTTTCCTTTTTGCTTTTTGGAAGGGGACCTTTTGAAATAGCTTAGAGGTGTCATCTTCTGATACACAGCAAAATTTCTTATGGCTAAAGGTAGACTCCCATACATTGGTAATGTTTTTGGGGTGCTGTGTTGCTGCAAAGAATGCTACATACAACTTGAAGAATAGAGACACCATTAGACAAATTCCAAAAAGGGTTCTTTTAGATTGTAGATCTCATTGCATTTTGATTTCAAACTTAATTTTAAGTATGTTGTTTAATAATGTTCTAATTTATTTTAAGTTAGTGGGAAGTTTGGGCCCATTTTCAAAAGAATTTGAGAGATCTTGAAGCATTTTGAGGTCATTCTTGTATTAATTGTGGAATACAAGAAAACATAGTTTACAGTATTTATAACTATAAATATAGGCCATTTGTTTAAAGGAGACAGTTGAAATAAGCTGTTTTGGTCTTTTTAAAAATTTTGTCATTAAAAGAATTTCTGGCAAACTGAAATATCTTAAAAGTGATGTTGGCTGTTTTGTTGTTTTATATTTTGGCAATAATGGAATGAAAGCAAACTAAAATGGAATTATTCCTTGCAGTTTCACCCTTTAATGCTAGGGTCCTGCTGCAGGATCCTTTTGTGGCAAGGATCTTCTTCCAGCAGGCTATTCTGTGAATGCTTATCTGCCTAACTTCCTTTGGGCCATTTATAGATGGGAACATCCAGGAGAAATGTGAGGCGTGATTATCTCACACATTTTGTATTTGTTCCTAGAAGCCAGGCGTGTTAGCACATATTGCACCAATGCCTTGTTTTTAAAAGTTATCTAGTATTAAAGTTTTTTCAGATGACTAAAGTAATCGTCATCAATGATTCTTTTAACAGCAAACGAGATTTGAGGAAGCAAAGGAGTGAATGGGAAAAGTGCTGTTCACAGTAGCCCTCGACTTATAACCACAATTGAGTCTGGAATTTTGGTCATAAGTCGGGTCGCCATGGGACTGTGGTCTCGATTTCACAACCATTTTTATAATGGTTCCTAAGTGAGTTAACTGTGGCCGTTAAGCAAATCAAATGGTTCCAATGGACTTTTTTTGTGCCAGAAAGTAGGAAAAATGCAATCATCACTATCCTAAGATGTTGCAACCGGTTGTAAATGTGAGCCAGTTGCCAAGCACCCAAAATACCATCACATAGCCATGGAAGTGGGGGCAGGAGGCAGCAATTGTAACTTAGAAGTCGGATCATTAAGTAACTTTTTTCAACTCCGTCTTAACTTTGATAGTTAGGTGGCCGGTTATAAGTCAAGAACTACCAGGTCGAGATTTAGGCTACTGGACAGAGATTAGCAAGGCGTGTAAAGCTTCTACTTTATATTAGGAATGTCTGGATACACCTGGACATAATGTAGTTATGGAAAGTTTTTGTTCGCAGTGCCTGTCGTGCCTTGGCTGCCAGGGATGGCATGTGCTCCAGGTACATAATAAGTTGCATAGACAGATATCGGCTTCATGATATTTGACAGTATACTAATCAGTTTTGACTTCAAAGGAAACAGCTGCGTTTTAAGTTCACGTAGGCTTGCAATTAAGCCCTTTTGCTTAATGAGATGCAAGGCATGGACAAGTGAGGCGTTCTTGAATGATTTTTATATCATTCGATTTTGAGAATTTCCCCCTTTAATTCATGAAACTGCACCAAGTAGAACGAAGCTGCCGTACGCATTTTGTAGATGCCCCGCTGAATGCTCTCCTAGGGTGCATCTTTCTCTCTCTGGAGGAAAATAGTCAATCTTTGAAAGAAGTACTGCAAGGCCAGGATGATTTCACAAGCTTATTTAAGTCGTTCTTTGAGTCAGCAATTCTCTCAGGGAAGCCGCGAAAGGGCAGCTGGATGTGTGCCCAAAAATTTAGCTGAGGTTTTTTCGGATGATACTTAGGAACCCACCTTGTACAGTACAGTACAGCCAACTGTGCTGGCTATAGCAACAGTACTTAACAAAGCTATTGAACTCTTCCGCCAGTCTTGACAAAGTATATAGAATTATTATTCTGCCCTTTCGCATGCTATACGTATTGGTTGCGGGAACTGACCCTGGCTAGTCTAGGGAAGAGAAGGACCAGGGGAGGCATGATAGCAGACTTCCAATATTTGAAGAGCTGCCACAGAGAGTAAGGGGTCAAACTATTCCCCAAGGCACCCGAAGGCCAAACAAGGAAACTGAACAAGGAGAGATTTACCTGGAAATAAGGAGAAACTTTCCAATAGTGAGAAAAATCAACCAATGGAACAGAAGTTGCCCTCGGAAGTTGTGGGAGCGCCATCACTTGAGACTTTCAAGGAGAGATTGGACTGCCATTTGTCAGAAATTGTATAAGGTCTCCTGCTTGGGTGGGGGGGCTGGACTAGATGACCTATAAGGTCCCTTCTAACTCTGTTAATCTGTATCTACATCTCAATGTACTCTGAATTCCCAGAGATTGCTATAAAAAAAAAAAGAAACTGGCTTACCTTGGTGGCATCATTTACCTTCAAACTCGTAACTCTTAGTTAAAAAGAAGTTGCTATGGGTTCATCTAGTATGCAAGTATAACCAACACATCAGTGAGATCCGAAACGAAGCCTTTCTGAACAAAGACCCTCTTCTTTCCACACAACTTATTTTTCACAGATCTCCAGAGACCTAGTGAACAGAAACCTACATGGATATTTACCCGTGTAGTAGGCATGTATTACTATTATCCTTCTCATCTTTCCTGTTACCATCTATTGGTATATTTGTTGTTTGTATGTACACTTGAGAGCTTACGCACCAGAAACAAATTCCATGTGTGTCTAATCACACCCGGCCAATAAAGAATATTTTAGTACATAAGTGTAAAAGTAAAGGTTCCTCTGTCTAGTCATATCTGACTCTAGGGAGTGGTGCTCATCTGTTTCTTAGCCAAGAAAGCCATTCGAAGACATTTTGTGGCTGGCATGACTATACACCGAGGCGCACAGAATGCTGTTATTTTCCCATTGCAATGGTACCTATTTATCTACTTGCATTTGCATGCTTTCAAACTGCTAGGTGGGCAGGAGCTGGAGCGAGGAACAGGAGCTCACCCTGTTGTATGGAGCTCGGGTCTCGAACCTAGGTTATCAGTTTTGCAGCTGACAAGCTCATTGTCTTCACACCTCAATATATCAGTACTCTGCAACTTTTCCTCCACGAGGATGCCAATACTCCACATCTTTCTCTCTCCCATTCGATCATACGTTGGTGACCTTGGGGCAATTATTTCAGTTGGCGTGAAATCACGTGACCATTGCAGCATCTGCATGGAACACATAAACGAAATTCAGGTGCTTGGCAACAGACTCATATTTATGACAGTTGCAAGCCCAGTCAATGGGGAAGCCAGATTCACTTAACAACCGGGTTACTAACTTAACAATTGCAGTGATTCACTTAACAACTGTGGCAAGAAAGGCCTTAAAACAAAACTCATTCAAACAAGTGCCTCAGCGGCAGAAATTCTGGGCTCAATCGTAGTCGTAAATCGAGGATTGCCTATATTTGCCAAGGAAGCGTTACTGTGCAGTTGGGAGCGTGAAAATGGCCCCCAACCTCCCAGCGTTCCCCTTCAACGTGTTTCCCAAGTCACTTCCTTTCACAAGGAAAATGTTGTGGAAAGATAAGCTTCCTGTTCCAGCACAGCCCAAGATGTATTTTCAGATTTTCTCAGATGTCATCAGACTGGCTAGTAGGAGGACAAAAGGTTGCATTCCTTAGCTGTGACAGTGGGAGGATATAAATTCCCAAGAGATTTGCACTGCAGGATTAAAGGGAGGTGGAAATCTGTTGATCAGGCCACTGTTAGAGCAGGAAGAACTACTCTAAACAGACACCAGCAAAGTAGGATTTAAGAATAATGTCAGAAAAGGCAGAGGAGATAAAATAGGTATCGGGAGTGATATTGTCTGAGAGATAAGTTCCTGCTGTATTTAAGATGTTTCTTCTCTAACATCCGATAAAAAGGAAATTTAAGACTAGGGCAAACAATAGGAAGCTGTCCACGTCTAAAATAAGAGGTGCTTTAAAACAGCCTGAAATAACAATGCAGCCGGCACAGCAAAAAAACTGAATTCTGGAATTCTTTTCCAAGGAAAACTCCAGCAAAATGGACTGAATGCTCTAGACATCTGGGAATTAAAAGTCTACAACATCT